TGGGAGAGGGGGGAGTTATGAGGGGGGATTCTCGCCTGGGGGGGGGGGACACCCGTTACAGTGCAGGAGGGGGGGGCGAGGGGGATTTTCGGGGGGGGGGGTCGATTATTCGGTGGAGAGGCTTGGATGTTGCACAGCACAGCACAAGTGAAAGACGATCTCTCGTACTGAATAACCCAACTTGTTGTTCGAATGTGGTCCTCGTCTTCGAGGGAAGGGGCGGTACAGGATGAGGTGAGACGGGCGGGAAGGTGAGAGAAGGGGAAGGGATAGGCGGTAGGGGCGGGGCTGATGTCCAGGAAGGGCAAGGGTTATCATAGCTGGACCTGATGGCTACGGAGGTATTACCATCGTACATGTGCGCTACGACTAGTCAAGCGTGGCGTGCACGCGTGACCCATTCGACGATAGCTTGAACATATACATCACTCGGGGAGTGAAGTGGCGAGGATTACTTCGGCGTAGGTTGTAGCGCTTCGGCGCTGGTACCACAACAGCGACGACGACGACGAGGACGGATGGATGATGAGGTGGAGGAGGAGCAACGGGAAGTCCCGATCTCGCGGACCTCGTCTTTTAAGGGCGCCCACATGCCCACAGCCAAACTGATATATGTTCTGCTTTCTCCGCGACGCGGGATAACTCATTTCTATTGCTGGGGCCCCCATGGAGCGGCACGGTAGCTTGCGCCACATACGTTCGCACATGTCTTGCTTTATGTTCGACGCTACACGCCTTGACCGCATATTAAGAGGATGGGTTGGCATCCCCGATAAATAGGTAAAAACCAACCCCTTGCTTGACCTCATCCCCCATTCGCGTAACTGGTCCACACGTCCTTCGCTGCGTACGTCCATCATGGTAACCCTTCCTGCTTCCTGACTGCTCACCCGTTCTTCTGCGTACCAGGTACATTGACATACCCTGCCACCCCAATCGACGTACGATCGCCTCCCGCGTGCCGATGCCCGATCCCATCCTGCTGACCTTCTATCTTCGTTTTCCCATTGCCTCTCCTTGGCCTTTACCATCCTCCTCCCCGTCCGTGTCCTCCCCCTACCCCTCTCCTGGCTGCACACCCGATTCTCCCTCCGTCGAAGAGAGGCGCGCACGAGACCTCAGCGCAGTTCCGCAAATCTCCCTTGCCCATTGGTTTGCCCGTCTTCTTTCCTTCCACCGCTACCCTCCCCTCCCTTCGCCCGCTTTCGCGGCACCGAGCCCTTCGTTGGCTTGTTTCCCGTCCTCCCTGTCGTGCTCGGCCTTGCATCTCCTCCTCCTCCTCCTCCTCCTCCTCCTCCTCCTCCTCCTCCTCCTCTTCCTGCGGCAGTGGCGGCGGCGGCGACGACGACGACGTCGATGATGACATCGCTGGGAGGCGACGTCGACGATGACATCGCTGGGAGGCGTCAATCAATAACGACGACGACGACGACGACGACGACGACGACGACGACGACGACGACGGCGACGGCGACGGCGACGGCGACGGCGACGGCGACGGCGACGGCGACGGCGACGACGACGGCGACGGCGACGACGACGGCGACGACGGCGGCGACGACGGCGACGGCGACGACGACGACATCATCGCTGGGAGGCGCCCCGGGCGGCGCGGTCGCCCACCCGGCGGCGGTGGCGACGGCGGCGCCCGCGCCAGACCAGGCGCCCCCCTGCCGGCGTGCTTGAACTCGGGGGGCGGGGGGGCGGCGCGGCCGAGGGCTGGCGGGCGCCGCCGAGGTGTCTTCGGGTGTGCTCCCCCGTGCGGCCGCCCTCGTTGTCTCCCCTCCGCGCGGCCGCCCGCGCTTCGGAGGTCCCCCCCCCGTTGTTTCCTCCCTCGAAGAGCACGGCGGACAAATGGCCATTCGGTCGCCCCGAAGAGCCACACGCTGGAGCGGACTGCCTCTGCCGTCGCCGCCGACGGAGTTAAGCGTCTCGGGGGGCGGGGGGCGGCGCCGGCCGAGGGCCGGCGGGCGCCGCCGGGTCGCCGAGGCTCTCGGAGGTTTCTTGGAGGTTTCTTGGAGGTCTTCGGAGGTTTCTTGGAGGTTTTTCGGAGGAGTGTCTTCAGAGGTTTCTTGGAAGTTTTTTGGGGTGTGCCTCCCGGGGGCCTCCGAAAGGGTGCCTCCTCCAGGGGCGGGGCCTCCGAGCCCGGGGGCCTCCCGGGAGACCTCCTGTGGGGGCCGCCCCAAGGCACGGGAGTCCCGATAGGGCCCGAGGGGGAGGGGCCCTGGGGCTTCTCTCGAAGGAAAACATACGTAAACATGAACTTTTGGCGCTCCGCGCGGATTTCTTGGATCCGCGCTGGGCCCCTCCAGCGGCGCCTCCGGCGCTGCCCCTGGCGCGCTCCGCGCGCCAGGGAGGGGGGTCCGGCGCGGATCCGAGAAACCCGCGCGGAGCGCCAAGAGTTTATGCTCATGCGTTTTTGTTCCTTATATTCTCGCCGTCTTCGGCCTCGCGAGGCCCTTACCTGGACCCCAGCCGAGGCCGTCCAAAAAGGACTCGGGACGAAGAGCCAGTTCAGGGGAGCTGTGGGGTATCCAGGACCCGTTTCCTTCAGGATGGCCCACGACAAGTGAGGAGGAGAAAGAGGAGGAGGAGGAGGAGGAGGAGGAGGAGGAAGAGGAGGAGGAGGAGGAGGAGGAGGAGGTGGTTGACACGTTTTGGAAGCGCCTGCAGGTTTTCAGGCCGCGGGTGCTTCTCAGAAGCTGCGCCTCGTCGAGAGCCTCACAGCAGGGGCTCCTGCATCGCCCCAAACGGCCGCCTGAGGCCGAGCCATGGCCCGAGGGCGAAGCCGAGCGGCGAGGAGGAAGGAGGAGTGCTTCGCTGTGAGGCCCCCGTCGCCACCGCCAGGCACGCCGCGAGCTCCCGGTCGGCGGGAGGCACCTGCCAGAGGATTGGCCGTCTGGGGAGTCTCGGGGCCGTCGTGGGGCGGGGGGCGGGGGCCGTCTTGAAGGCCAGCTGGCGGCCGTCCTTCAGGAGGGGAAAAAACACAGACACAGGCAAGATGAATCATCGATCCCCCAGAAAATATGGGAAAATATGGGAAGCGGGGGGGAAGACCAGAACCCCAACAAAAATATAGAAAAATACTAGGGATCCTGGCACTTGTGTGTGTGTGTGCATTTGTGTGTCCGGAGCTGTTGTTGGAAGCCTCTCCGACCGTCCAGGGGTCCTTTTCGAGAGGCCTGGGAGCTTCTGGCGCCGACCCTGGAGCCATTGCGAAGCCAACACGAGGGGAGCGCAGCAGAGGTTCAAGCATGTGGCGTGAAGTCGGGCCTGTCCCTCTACAGGAGGAATCTTCAAAAATACCAAAGCACAGTCTGGGGACGACTGTCATAGCATGTTTTGATTATTTTTGCACATTTCTTCAGTACGTGTTTTCTGCCAAAACCCGCCTGTAGGGGGACATGCCCGACCTAAATGTAGCGGAGTTTGACGATTTCCGTTTCTCGGGGGGAGGCCTTCTCGGACGGGCCTAGAATCGATATGAGCCCGTTTCAGAGCGTTCCAGAGCGCTCTCAGAGCGTTCCCGAACGCTTTCCGGAACGCTCTGAACCGGCCGCCGCGCCCGATGCATCCTCCAGACCAAACCCGCCGATTCCCAGAGATGTCCGATGTGTCTCGGTCCGATGTTGTCTCGATTCTGCTCTCGCCTTACCTTCGAGGAGCCATCTTGGAGCCTCTTGAGGCCATCTCGGAGCACCCGGGGCCCCTGCGAGGCCATCTCCTGCGCCTCGGGCCTGCCCGCGCCGAGGCGCGCGCGGGCGTCTCTCAGGAGGGGAAAAAACACACAGACACAAGTAATCCTCGATTCCCAAGAAAATATGGGAAAATATGGGAAGTGGGGGGGAAGACAGAAACCCAGAAAATATGGGAAAATATGGGGAATCTGTTTATTTGTGTGTATTTATTTGTGTGTCCTGGGGCCCCTCCAGTCTCGGGGCGCCCATCCTGGACCCGCGCAGAAAACAAGAGGGGCCCCGGCGCTCCGGGCACGGCCCCAGCAGGCCCTGGACCGGCACGGACGGAATGGGTACGTGTCGACTAGGCGTAAGAGTGGCCTTTCGCCGGCAAGTGACCTTGGGTGCGGACCAGATGGGGTCCCCCGATCGCCGAACGCGAGGCGGCAGTGGCGCCTGGCGCGCTTCTGTTTGGCTCCCTCGCGGCCCCCCAAAAGCCGCGCACCAAAGGTCACTCTTACCCAGGGTCACTCTTGCATGTAGCCGAACGTACGGAAAGAATGGGCACGAAGACCGGCAGCAGTGCTCGCGCATTTTGAACAGGACGCGCTGTCGGTGTCGCCGTGGACGTCGTCCATTTGAGACAGACGGCCGCCTGCCCAACAGCGGCCGCTGTCGGTTTTGAACATGGTACCCGTGCTTGTCCGTACCCATTTCGGGCTTCCAGGCTTGGCGTGAGAAACGGAGGGCTGACACATTTCAACACTGAGAGGGCCCCACGGCACCGCGGGCCATTCCAACGCACACTGGGCGCCGCGGGCGCGATGGCAAACTGGACAGGAGGCCCAACATGGGACCAGGGGTCCGATGTTGGACCTCGCTGTCCAGACCTTTGGATTGGAGCGCCCTCCCCTGAGACAAGGAGCCCTCCCCCCCCCCGCTCCGTAGCCATGCGGGCACGGGCAGCCGCATGCGTCGGCTCGCTCACTCCTGGCACGACCCGTGGCTTGTCTTGGAACCGAAGATGCATAACATGTGAGCGGAGTCCCGCCTCCCGGCGGCCATGGCGAGCCACACGCGGCTCCAGGGCTTCCTGCTTGCCGACCTCCCGCGGCACAGGCGATGCTCCTACCTCTGCTTCGCCCTGGCGCTCTGCGTGGCACTCGGCTCCTACCAGTTCGTGAGCCCCGTGAAGACGGCCATTTTCCTGGACCTGGTCGGCACGCAGCACGAGCCAGTGGCCAGGTCTCTCGTGCTGGTGGTCCTCGTGCCGGTGCTGTTCCTGTACGGCGTCGTGGCCTCGGCAGTGGGAAGCTCGCGCCGGCTGGTGCTGGCCGTCTGCGGCTTCTACGCCCTCGCGTACGTCGCGACGAGCGCGGTGCTGTTGGCCAGCGCCGGACGCCCGGGGGCGTGGTTTGCCTGGGCGCTCTACTACATCACCGAGACCCGCTCGGTGGTAGTGATGCCGATGATCTGGTCCGTGGTCGCGGACGCCTCGACCACGAGCATGGCCAAGCGGGCGTTCCCTCCCATGTTCGCGCTGATCCAGCTGGGCGGCATCGCCGGCTCCCTCGTAGCCGTCAGGGCGCGGAGCCTGGGCGGCGAGGTGGGGCTGCTGCTCCTGCAGGCAGCCGCCTTCGGCCTCGTCGCCGGCCTCGCGTGGCTGGGCTGCCACGCCGCGTCGGCGGACGTCGCCGAGGCCGAGCAGGAGACGTCGCCACTGCGACCCGCGGACGGCGCCGAGGACGCTGCTGTGGCGAAGGCCAGGGACGCCCCCGGCCTTCGGCTCAGCGCTCCGGGCCGCCTTGTCCGCAACGCGCTGTGCGAAGGCTTCGAGGGCCTCTGGCTGCTGCTCTCGCAACCCTACGCCTTCGGCGTGTTCTGGGTATCCTACGCGAACTTGATGCCGCGGACCATCCTGGACTACCAAAACAGCGTGCTCGTGAAGGAGGCGTTCCCGAGCAGGATGGACCAGATCGCCTTCCTGGGCAACATTAACCTTGCAATCAACAGTGGAGTCGCGTTGCTGACTTTGCTGGGAACGAGCTCCATCGTAGAGGCTGTTGGGATAGGCGGGTCGCTGCTGATGTTGCCGGCCGTGATGCTATGTTGCGTGCTGGCGCTATGCACCAACTACTCACTATGGACATCGGTCTGGACCCTCATGGTGTCGTGCGTGGTGGCCTATGGGCTTAACTCCCCTTGTAAGGAGATGCTGTACGTCCGCACTTCTCGCGAGGTGAAGATCAAGGCCAAGGCCTGGTCGGAGATGTACGGTAACCAGCTGATGAAGCTGCTCGGGGCGCAGGTGAACTTATGGGTCAACCGAGACGCTCTCGCCTGCGAGCACCACTGCTTCCAGCCGATGGTGACGATTGGCACGGTCGCTGCGTGGGTCTCCTTGTGGGCAGCGGCGGCAGCGTACCTCCAGAGAGTCCACGCGAAAATGGAAGCCGAAGACGCGAAGAGCGTGTGTTGAGAGGCAGCGCCCGCGGCCCCCTTCGCGCCCCTCCTCTCCTTTCCTCGCGCAGCGCTGCTGAGCCCTCCCGAGCTCCCGTAGCGTCCGTGGGGCGGCCGCGCACAGCCGCCAAACAAGACCCTCCTCCTCCTCCTCCTCCTCCTCCTCCTCCTCCTCCTCCTCCTCCTCCTCCTCCTCCTCCTTGCTTCACAGTGGCGTGGGCTCCTCCCTCCCTCCTCCTCCTTTCCTCATCCTCCTCCTCCTCCTCCTCTCCTCCTCCCCTCCTCGTCCTCCTCTTCCTCCTCTCCTCCTCCTCCTCCTCCCTCCTCCTCCTCCTCCTCTCCCCCCTCCCTCCTCCCCCTCCTCCCCCTCCTCCCCTCCGCGCTGCTGTGGTCACGTCTTCCCCTAGATGTCTAGCTCGAGTGCCCGCCGCCACAGGGGGGCGAACGCTCCGCCCCTATCGAGGGCGGCCGCGCCCCGTGGCGCGTGGCGCGAGCGCCCCGCTGCCGAATCGTTCCGATGGCCATCCAGAAGTTCCGAACACTTCCAAGGAGGAGGAGGAGGAGGAGGAGGAGGAAGGAGGAGGAGGAGAAGGAGGAGGAGGGGGGAGGAGGAGGGGGAGGAGGAGGAGGAGGAGGAGGAGGAGGAGGAGGAAGAGGATGAGGAGGAGGAGGAGGAGGAGCAGGAGGAGGAACAGGAGGATGGCAGGAGGAGGAGGCGGAGAACGAGAAGCACCCTGCTTGCCTCCAGGGGGGCCCTGGGCTTCCTGGGGTTCGATGGTTTCGCAATGGAAAGCGTGACGCTCCCACAGCAAGAATCGGTGGACGTCCTGGGGTCTCAGGGCTGGGCTTCCTGTGGAAGGTTTCTTGTGGTCGAGCCCCGCTGCAGCTGCCTCGGTACGCCCGTGATGAAACGCAACACGTATTGTGCTCAATACGTATGTGCTAACACGTTGCGTGTTGGCTCGGCACGTGCTGGTCCACGGTTTGGGCGAACGTGTCGCGCCGAACGTACGTTTCCAGTCTGCGTGCTGAACTCCGTATCGGCACGCTACGTGCCGCGTGTTGCGTATCGGGGCAGCTAAGTTCCTATCATTTCCCAAGGTCGCCGACGACCTCCGACAACCAGGATGTGTACTCCCGCCTCCACCTCGTCGTCCCCCGACCCTAGACCCCTGGCCCCCCAGCTTTGGTTCACGATGTCGCCCCCCCGAGTTCTCGACCCCATCTCCACGACCGACTTCTCGCCCGGGGCAGTTTGCCGACATCCATCGGGGCCCGAAACAAGCTTGCAACGGCAGAAGCATAAAGAAAACTACTGTGCTGCGTTTTCACCACACCTAGAGGAGTGGGCCCTCCCTCTATGGCAGCTTTCTGTGTCTGATCAGGGCCCGTTCGATCTGTGCTTGGAGCACCCTGACCCCTACGGCTTGCCCGTCATCTCGAAACCTAGGTTCCCTGGCCCAGTCCAGTTTATTGTTTGGAAGTTTCAGGATGCTGGCACGACTTCTACCCCCTGCGCATTCACAAGGCTGTTCAGGCAGGGCTGGCCTGGCGTTTGATAAACATGTTGCTAGAAACTTGACCATGGTTTCTTACAGTCAAGCTTCGGAATTCAGGACACCTGTGGTTCGGTATAGGGTCGAGATGCCCTATAGGTCTTTCCTTGGGCTTCTCCTCGAGCGCTCCTCCCAGGCCTCGGCGTGACCAGGGCCAGAAGGAGATTCGTTCCCCGATTAAGGTTCTTTACGCTGTCGCGGGCGCAGTTCGCGTCCAATTGTGGGGCGTTGCCAGGGCGGCGTTGGACGCTTTAGGTTCTCGACCAGGGTCGTCGTCGTAACCGTCCTCTTCGTCGCCGTCGTAGTCGCCGTCGTCGGTTTTGCGCGCGATTTCGGGACGTTTCTTCACGACCTCGGCGTCTGGAGCAGGGGGGGGAGGGGCGCTTTCGGGTTTGGGGTCCCACAGAACCTGGCCCGCGACGATAACGGACAGGAAAGAGGAGGAGGAGGAGGAGGAGAAGGAGGAAGAGGAGGAGGAGGAGGAGGAAAAGGAAGAGGAGGAGGAGGAGGGGACGGAAAAGGAGGAGGAGGAGGAGGAGGAGGAGGAGGAAGAGGGGGAGGAGGAGGAGGAGGAGGAGGAGGAGGAGGAGGAGGAGGGAGGAGGAGGAGGAGGAGGTAGAGAGGAGGAGGAGGAGGAGGAGGATGAGGAGAAGAAGAGACGGAGGGGGAGGGAGAAGGGGGTCGGGTGCTCGGGGCCAGGAGGGGAAGAGGACGGGGGCCCCACGCCGTGAAGAAGCACACGTGCTGAAGGTGTGTGGCCGTCGAGCCCCGTTTGGAGCTTCGAGCTGCGAGAGCCCAGCCGCGGCCACGCGCCGGGAGGTCACGGGAGGCAGACTGGCGGGCAGGGCCCCGAGAGGGCAGCGGAGCGAAGGGCCCGAGGGATCAACAAGCGCAGCGCGTGGCGGCCTCCCCGCTCCCCCTCCCTCCTCCTCCTCCCCCTCCTTCTCCTCCTCCTCCTCCTCCTCCTCCTCCTCCTCCTCCTCCTAGCTTCACAGTTGCGTGGGCTCCTCCTCATGCTCCGTAATGATACATTCTGGCTGGAGCGAAGAGCCGAAACGCGCCCTCACTCGACGAGGGGATACTCGCGCGTGCTCCGCGTCGGCGCCAGTCGCCCTCGAGAGCCATGGACAAGTATCGCAAGGTCGAGAAGCCCAAGAGCACAGAGGAAATCGCCGAGGATGGGAGTCCAGAAAAGTGCATCATCATGAACTTCGGACGTCTGCGGATGGCGGAGGTTGGTCAGCGCCAGACTCCCTCCCCACACCCATGCGGCGGAGTAAGGGGGCCCGGCGCTGGCAGAAATCCGGCATCCGTCGACGTCCGACGTGTTGTGTTCAAGTGTTTTTCGCCCTCCTGAAGGACGAGATCCGCGTCACTACCGCTGGGAGTGTCTCCGCGTACGTCTCCCGCGTGAACAAGGTTTTCACTGAGCTGGAGAAGACTAAGGTCACGATCAAGGGAACGGGCGGGGCGCTGACCAAGGCCGTGATGTTAGCGGAGGTGGTCAAGCGCCGCTTCAAGGGCCTGCATCAAATTACAAGCCTGAGCAGCCTCGAAGTCGTGGATGAGTACGAGCCCATTGAAGAGGGTTTGGACAATGTTACTGACACGCGTACCCTCACCGTCATCGACATCACGCTCTCGAAGGAGCCCCTGGATACTTCTGACAAGGGGTACCAGCCGCCCATCGACGAGGCGCTGGTGACGGACTACGACCCAGAATTGGCCAAGGCTCGGGGTCGCGGCAAGGGAAAGAGCAAGGGCAAGGGCAAGGAGAAGGGCAAGGGCAAGGAGAAGAGCTCTTCGAAGGGCAAAGACAAGGGCAAGGAGGCCAAGGGAAAGGGGAAGGGCAAAGGCAAGGACGACCCGGAGCCGAAGGGCAAGGGCAAGGGCAAGGACAAAGGGAAGGACACGGGCAAGGGCAAGAGCAAGGGCAAGGACGCCCCAGAGCCGAAGGGCAAGGGAAAGGGCAAGGACAAAGATTCGAAGGGCAAGGGGAAGAGCAAGTCCTCGAAGAGCGACTCCTGGGACTACCCCCCGCCGTCGAAGGGAAAGACGTCCAGCAAAGGTAACGGCAAGTCCTACGACTCGTACGGCGGCTACGATAGCTACTCGTATGGCAAGGGGAAGTCCAAAGGCTACGACAGCTACTCGTACGACAAGGGGAAGTCCAAAGGCTACGACAGCTACTCGCACGGCAAGTCGAAGTCAAAAGGCTACGACAGCTACGGAGGCTACGACTCGTACGGCTACGGCAAGAGCAGCGGCAAGAGCAAGGGCTACGGCAAGAGCTACGGCAAGTACTGACCTGGCTCAGTCAACGAAAGGAGGCCGAGCTTCACCCGGGGAGATTGATGCAGAGCCCGCTGCTCCGTGAGCAGCCTGCCCACTGACTACCTCTGCAAGCTCTGTGCCCCACAGGGTTCGGCGCCGACGGGCCCAGCCTTGACCTGGCCGCTACTCTGGTCACACGTGGGCGGCCTCCAAGAGGTCTGGATCCTCCCCCTTTTCTTGGTCCTTTCCTCCCCTGCCCGATCCCCCTCTGGCGCCACACTTGGCCCACGCGCCCTGCGCATATGTTTTAACTGTAGCCGAATCCGCCTGCCAGAACTCCACGTATGTACGATGTGTAGGAGTGATCCTCCAGCCCTCTTTCCACCGCATCCCATGTCTCCCCAGACCTGTGGCGACTCGAGAAGGTCGCATCGGAGTTTTCTCCCCTCCTTTCTCCGTCCCCGTCCATACTCTCGCACTGTGAGGGCCTACCCGTGTACAGCGTGTACAGACAGAACCGAAAAAATACGAGATCGGAAAGGCGACGCGCTCCAAGCCTCCTCGGCGAGGCCGAAGTAGAGGAGGTACGTCAGAAGATCGCACCGCATCGCCAACGCACCGGCGCCGCGGCGCGATCTGGAGTCCGATCTTCTACATGCAGACATCGCCGCTGCATCGGCGATGCGTTGCGATCTTCGGACCCCGTTTGCTACAGTCGACCCGCATAGTAACATGGGCAGCCTTCCCAACGGTACCCTTGCATCCTTGCCCCTTCGGGCCATCCTCAGCGACCCTCGCTGGCCAACCTCGCTCGAGAAAGGCTAACGTGGCCCTCCGAGGCCCCTTGCACCCTTACCGCGCATGCTTCTCATACGGGTGGACTGTATGGCCTCGCTTAGGAGGCCTCCGCTTGCCCACCCGCCTCGAGCAAGTGTGATAGAAGTGCGTGACCCAAAAAACTTGTGTGATACAACAAACACATGTGTGTTTTATCACACTTCTATCACACTTCTATCACACTTGTCCTTATCATACGGGTGGACCGTACAGGCGGCCCGGATAAGCAGGTCGACCCTGCCCGATCAAGGGTATCCTCGTTTTCTGTGTTTTGCGACACATGCCTCCTGCATCTCTGTGGCAACGTGGCCCTCGGAAGGGTCTTGTGTCCCCTCGCGTGTCCAGGAGGAGGAGGAGGAGGAGGAGGAGGACGAGGAGGAGGAGGAGGAGGACGAGGAGGAGGAGGAGGAGGACGAGGAGGAGGAGGAGGAGGAGGAGGAGGAGGAGGACGCTCAGGAGGCCTCCGCTTGCCCACCCGCCGCCTGGGCCCTGGCGGCCCCCGCCCTGCGTGCCGTGCCCGCCTCCCACGGCGCAGCACGCCTCCGCGGGGTGTGGCGCTCGAGGGCCGCCGCCGCTGCAGCTCGACGGCGGCAGGCGCGCCGAGGGCAGGTGCCCCCAGTGATTCATGTCTTCAGGGCTCGTCGATTGGCTCACACGGGGACTCGTTGGAGCAAAGGTAGCGCCCAGGTTTGGGATCGTCGGGGAGCGTGCGCGCATACACAGTGGTTCGTACGACGATGCGTGTTCCGCACGTGCCGGTTGCATCCTCCGGGTAGGGCTCCAGCGCAGCGCAGCTACTGTACCCTATGTCACCCTCGGGGGCCCGAACACAATCGCGCGTCGCGCTCTGGGCTGGACAGCCGTTCTTTTCTCCAGGGGGGCGTCGCGAGTGGGCGTTCTGCGCGGCACGCGGCGCGAAGGCCGGTGGCCCCGAGGGGGGACCTCACCCGCGCTGCCCGCTCCCTCGTGGTCCGCTGGCGCGGCGCCTTTGCAAAGATTGGCCAGGAAGGGGAGGAGGGGGAGGAGGGGGAGGAGGAGGAGGAGGAGGAGGATGAGGAGGAGGAGCGAGGAGGAGGAGGAGGAGGAGGCACGGCGGAGGAGAGGAGGAGGGGGAGGAGGAGGAGGAGGAGGGAGGGGAGGGGAGGGGGCCAGAGGAGCGGCGGAGGCGGCGGAGGAGGAAGTGGCGCGAGCGAGAGCCCTGTGGCCGCCGACGCCGTGGTGCTCTAGACCGGGGGCCCAGAGCTCTCGGCCCCTCTCGCTGGAGCTGCCCCCTCTCGCTGGAGCCAACGCCTCGTCCCAGGAGTGGTCTCCCGAGGGCCCCGGGGCCCAGAGGTGGCCCCGCGGGAGGGTACACCTTAGGCGATGCTTAAGAAAACTTAAGTTTTCCGCGAGAGTTTCGATTATTCTTAATGGTTCAATGTAAATCCTAAGTTTTTGATAGAGGTTCTGGGTTTTTATTCAAATTCTGAGACTCTGAGTTTCTTAACCCATGATTTGTTAAGCATTTCGCAGGGTGTAGACTGCAGGTCCACAAGAGCCGGAGATTCGGGGAGGCCTCCCGAGGCCTTCGGAGGCCCGGGGTCCCCATGGGGCCACCAGGGGCCCCCTCCAGATCCTCGGGCCCCCCGGAGGCCGCCGGGGGCAGAGAGAGATCCTCGGCCCTGCCCGGTCTGCGGCGGTGCTGCGCCGTGGCGCGCGGGCGTCGCCACGCCAGGGAGCTCCCACTCCCCGTGGCCGCCGCGCCGCGCCAGCCCAGGTCGCCCCGCCGCCCAACTCCGTCTCACCCCCCTGGCTCCTCGGCACAGCTGGTGGAGGCATCGTCCTTTTCGAACCGGCCTGCTGCGCCTCCCTGCGCCACTCCTCATCTGATCGTTCCTGGCATGGGCACTGGCGTGGGCAATGTTTGGTGATCTCATTTCCCCACGCAGTGCTCGCACTTGGGTCTTCTTCTTTCTTCTGTCAGACACTGGGCCTGCCCGTCGGTCGCCGTCGTCGCCCCGTCACCGCCGTCTGGGCCGGCGCTAGTTTGCACTGCTTTGCGTTATCTCTGGACTGCAATCCATTGATCTACCTTGCTTTACTGGCGTTGGCTTGCATTGTTTCACATTGAGGCGCACTGATTTGCATTATTATCCCGTGCTGTGCATTCCTGCACTGCTTTCCATTGATTGGCATCACATTGCTTGGCATTGCACTGATTTGCATTGCATTGCTTTGCGTTGCTTTCCATTGCTTTGCATTGATTGGCATTGTTCTTCATTGATTTACATTGATTTGCGTTGCTTTGCACTGCTCTGCGTTAATATGCATTGGTTTGCCGCCCGTCGCTACATAGATTGCAGCACGTAGATCGCAGCACATCAATTGCACCACATTAGTTGCACCACATGCATCGCAGCATATAGAGTGCACCATATATTGCACACAAATATTACTACGCGTAGACTGCACCACAGAGATTGCACAACATAGATTCTACTTTCTGATAGGAATTCAGATTCTACCCTCGCGCGCCCCCCTGTTTATCGGCACCCCCAGGGGCACAGCAAATTACGATGATACGGCCTCCTCGTTCATTCTGCATATGAGTTCATACCATCCCAGTGGGTCCCCTTAACGTTCCCTCGCCTCATGTATCATTAGACTGGCGAAGGACCCAACCATATGCAGCTGTCTGTGCCGTAACGGGGTGTATCGTCTTCGGTACAGTTCCCGATAGGGCGACGAAACATATGAGAGATGAGCCGACGTGGGGATCCAACTCCATGCGAACCCTGCAACTGAGGCCTTCGGTGGAGCCTCTTCATGGGGCCACGGACCGTGTGAGGGGTGCGCCGAAATTGGGTGTGGAATTGCTTGCGCACTTTACCACTGTGGCCTGCGGGGGGGGGGGGCTTCCTATGGGGCCACGAACCGTGTGAGGGGGCAACGGAATAGAGGTGGAACCGCATGCGAACTTTCCCACTGGGGCCTTCGGTGTGGCTCCCTACGGGGCCACGAAACGCGTGAGTGGTGCGCCGAAATGGGGTGGAACAGCATGCAAACTTTGCCACTGGAACCTTCGGTGGAGCTCCCTATGGAGTCACAAAACGTGTGAGGGGTGCGACGAAATTGGAGTGGAACTGCATGCGAACTGTCCCTCCGGGGCCTTCGGTGGAGCTCCCTGGGGGCAACGAACCGTGTGAGAGGCACGCCGAAATGGGGTGGAATTGCATGCAAACTTTCCCACTGGGGCCTTCGGTGTAACTCCCCTACGGGGCCACGAAACGCATGAGGGGTGTGCCGAAAAAGGGGCGGAACTGCATGCGAACTTTCCCATTGGGGCCTTCGGTGGAGCCCCCTAGGGGGGCACAAAACGTGCGAGGGGTGCGCCGACATGGGGGGTGGAACTGCATGCGAACTTTCCCACTGGGGCCTTCGGTGGAGCTCCCCATGGGGTCACGAAACGTGTGAGGGGTGCGACGAGATGGGGCGGAACTGCATGCGAACTGTCCCTATGGGCCCTTCGGTGTAGCTCCCTACGGGGCCACGAAACGCGTGAGGGGTGCTCCGAGATGGGAGGTGGAACTGCATGCGAACTGTCCCTATGGGGCCTTCGGTTGAGCTCTCTACGGGGCCACGAACCGTATAATGGGTGCGCCGAAATTGGGATGGAAATGCATGCAAGTTTTCCCATTGGAGCCTTCGGTGGAGCTCCCTATAGGGCCACGAAACGCGTGAGGGATGCGCCGAATTGGGGTGGAACTGCATGCAAACTTTCTCACTGGAGCCTTTGGTGGAGCTCCCCTACTGGGCCACGAAACGCGTGAGGGGTGTATCGAAATCGGAGGTGGAAATGCATGCGAAATGTCCCATTGGAGCCGTCGGTGGAGCCCCTTAGGGGGGGGGGGGGGGGGGCCCGAACGCTTGACGGGCGCGCCGAAATCGGGGGTGGAACTGCATGCGAGTTTCCCCACTGGGGCCTTCGGCGGAGCTCCTTCTAGGGCCACGAAACGTGTGAGGGGCGCAGGGGGTGGGAGGAGCGGGGGAAGGGTGGAGCGGGGGGAGGGTGGAGGGGGAGGAGGAGGGGGAGGAGGAGGAGGAGGAGGAGGAGGAGGAGGGATTACAGGGATTACAGCCTTCGCGTAGCGAAATCCACAAAGCGCAAAACCGGTGAGGCGAGTACCATGTCTGCGCCCCGCCGCGGCTGTTCACCC